AATGCTAAAGAATATCTATCTAGTTCCTTCCAATCTTATACGTCATAGAATCGTATTCTCCATCAAACATCTTTTATTAATACTCCTTCTCAAAATGGGGTTGCAAAAAGAAAAAATCGACATCTTCTTGAGGTTCCTAGGGCACTTCTATTCAAGATGAAGGTCCCTAAACATTTTTAGGCTAATGTTGTTTCTACTGCATGTTTTTTGCTCAATCGCATGCCTTCTTCTGTGCTTAATGTTGCAATTTCTTACAGTGTCCTGTTTCCTTCTAAGCTTTTATTCCCAATTGAACCTCGCATTTTTGGTTGTACTTGTTTTGTTGATGATGTTCATCCACAGGTTACCAAATTAGATCCAAAGTCCCTTCATTATGTTTCCTAGGGTATTCTTGGCATCAAAAGGGGTATCGTTATTTCTCTCCCGATCTTGACCGTTATCTTATTTCTGTAGATGTCATATTTTTTGGGAATACTCCATTTTTTCCTTCTTCTATATATAAGAGTGAGGGGGGAGGATGATGAGCTTTTAGTCTACTTTATCCAGCAATTTCTTAGCTTTCCTGCTCCTACTACTATTCCTGAACTTGCACCGACTCCTGCCACAGCGTCTGTTGCTCCTATTCCCACTCTTGCACTAGCATCCGCTTGACCTCATTTTGAACAGGTTTATTCCAGGAGACCAGGAACTCTTGACTCACTTCCCCTACCTGCCACTTCAACAAAAGATCCGGTTCCCTCTACTCAACTTGAGCCTGTGCCATCCACTCCTTAGTCAGACCTTGACCTTCCCATTGCTCTTCGAAAAGGTAAACGCAAGTGTACCTATCCCATTTCTTCTTTTGTCAGTTATGATTATCTTTCTTCTTCTTTCTTCTTCATCTTGTTGTTTTGCAAGTAACCTAGACTCTGTCTCTATCCCCAAAATTGTTGTCCAAGCTTTGTCCCATCCTGGTTGGTGTGCAATAATGAAAGAAGAAATGGCTGCCTTAGATACTAATAGTAATTGGGATCTTGTGCCTCTCTCAGCAGGTAAGAAGGATATTGGTTGTAAATGGGCTTTCACCGTTAAAGTGAATCTTGATGGGTCTGTTGCTCGTCTCAAGGCTTGATTAGTTGCTAAGGGCTATTCTCAGATTTATGGACTTGATTATTCTGATAGTTTTTCTCCTGTCGCTAAATTGTCTTCTATTCATTTATTTATTCCTTTAGCAGCTACTTTTGACTGGCCTTTACATTAGCTAGATGTTAAGAATGCCTTCCTGCATAGGGATCTTCAGGAAGAAGTATACATAGAGCAATCACCAGGCTTTGTTGCTTAGGGGGAGTTGGATAAAGTGTGTAAACTTTGAAAATCTCTTTATGCCTAAAACAGAGTCCTCGAGCTTGGTTTATTAGATTTTGCAATGTGGTACATCAATTTGACATGTAGAAGAGTACTTCTGATCATTCTGTATTTTTCAGAAGTACTAAGACTGGTTTGATTCTACAGAAGTACCAAGACTGGTTTGATTCTACTTGTGGTTTATCTAGATGACATTGTTATTACAGGAAGTGATTCAGCCGGCATTACATCACTCAAGTCATTTCTCCAGACTCAGCTTCAGACAAAAGACTTAGGATTGGTGAAGTATTTTTTAGATATTGAAGTGTCTAGGTGTAAGAGAGGCATTTTCTTATCTCAAAGGAAGTATGTCCTTGACTTACTAATGGAAACTAGAAAGTTGGGTGCCAAGCAATGCAGTGCTCCAATGACTCCTAATTTGCAACTTTCAATTGGTGGTGAGCTATTTGATGATCCTTAGATGTATAGAAGATTGGTGGCCAAACTGAATTATCTTATAGTAACAAGTCCAGATATTGCTTACTCTGTGAGCGTCTTAAGCCAGTTTATGTCTTCCCCTACTGTTATCCATTGGGAAGCTTTAGGATAGATTTTGTGCTACTTGAAAGGCAATCCAAGTTGTGACCTTCTTTATAGTAATCATGGGCATTTGGACATTGAGTGTTTTTCATATGCGGATTAGGCAGGATCAAAGGTTGATAGAAGATCAACTTCAGGATGTTGTGTCTTTGTGGGTGGAAACTTGATATCGTGGAGGAGCAAGAAACAAATATAGTCTCATTATCGAGTGCTGAATTAGAATATCGAGCTATGGCACAATCTATTTGTGAATTAATTTGGATTTGTCAGTTGTTAGAGGAAATTGGCTTCAAGTCGTTTTTGCCTGCAAAATTATGGTGTGGTAATCAAGCTGCTCTTCACATTGCATCAAGTCCAGTATTCCATGAACGAACAAAATATATCGAGATTGATTGTCATTTCATTCGTGAAAAGATACAACAGGGTGATTGATTGTCATTTCATTCGTGAAAAGATACAACAGGGTGTTATCTCTACAGGACATGTTAAAACAAGTGAACAGTTAGGAGATATCTTTACAAAAGCCCTAAATGGACCTCAGGTTAACTATCTTTGTAACAAATTGGGTATGATTAACATCTATGCTCCAACTTGAGGGAGAATGTTAAGGACTAGTTGTAAATAGAGTTCTATTAGGAGTTAAATTCCTAATAGGTTTATAGTATCTTGTATATATATGTGTGTGTGTGTCCCTATTGATAAAACATATACAATAATATTTTTTCCACATTGAATTACATTACAGCATCAAATCAGAAACATATATCTCCTTTAGAAGTTAAATTCCTAATAGGTTTATAGTATCTTGTATATATATGTGTGTGTGTGTCCCTATTGATAAAACATATACAATAATATTTTTTCCACATTGAATTACAGCATCAAATCAGAAACATATATCTCCTTTAGACCCGTTGCATTTGATGATGCAACATAAGGACTACGAATGTCAGGCAACAATGGAGAATTAAAAACTTCAGTACATCTCCCATCTCCTATGTGCCTCAAACCACCATTCCGTAGTAAAAGATTATCATCTCTATATAAAAACCCTAAATTTGATCTCAAATTACTTTGTGAATCAGTCATGTGAATAATCTAATAGTTTTCGATCTAAAAATAATTCAATTCGAATCCTTGGAAAAAGACATGATTAAGAGCGTGTAAATTTAAAATAATGAGTTCAACCCAAATTAGCTCGATTCAATCAAAATCAAGCCTCAGACATGTTTGTCATCTTTATTGTTATAGCAATATTAAATTTATATTTAGAAAACTATAAAAAAATAATATAAATTGAAGTTAATATTATAAATCTTTAATAATATTTCACATCAAAGCTTAAATCAGAACTTCTATAAAGCAAATTAAGCAATACTGAAGGCATTAGTTCATTTGATTCATACAATTGATAAATGATAATCGATTAATAATGAATTCAATCAGTAGTTAGTAGCCGATAAAATCCTAATCAACAACTGATCCCATTATAGCTAATTTATATATATATAAACCAAAGCAGATTGTAATCAAATAGTATCCGATCTTATTTGCAAAATAAAACAAAATTTTAATTTAATTTTAATTTAAGAATGAAACAGGTCATCCGTCATGGTATTTTATTAGATTCAATTATATTAAATTGCATGGTTTCATTCTTGTAGATTGTATCCTCACTTCACATTCCTTTCATGGCCGTGCAGTCACACGGACCACCTCAACGTGAATTTTTTAAGAAAAAGTAAATTATTATTTAGTGCCTTTAGTTTGAAGAAATTAACTATTTAATCCCTTTTTTAAAAAAAAAAAAAAAACATTAATATGTTCTCTAATTTTCTCCCATTTGATTAATAAGTTTTCCATCTAAAATTTATACTTTCTACCACTAATTTTGAAAAAAAAACCTAAAATACCTTTATCTATTTCTATTTTTATCGCAGTTTTTTTATGCAAAAATTACGTTTGTTAAAGAAACTTGACAATTCATTGATAAAGACTATATATATGAGTATATAATAATATTTTCATATAGGAATAAGAAATATACATATAGAAAATTAAAATTTTATATTCATAAATAAACTTAACATAAAAGATTAATCTTCAAAGTAAACATTGGTCCTTTTTTAAATAGAATGACAAAAAAAACTTTTTACAATATAATTTCGAACTTTATTCTTCAGAAACTTGTTACACTACTCACACGAATTTAAAATAGTAAAGATTAATAGGGGAGCATGCCATGTTACCTACCAGGCAGTTCTTTATCCGAATTTGAAAATCTAAAGTCTTCAACCAAAAGTAATCAATATTTTATCTTGTATTTTTGAACTATTAAAAAGAACAAATCACAAATACAAATAAAATTTCTCAATAATGAGAAATAACTACATAAAAAGAGAAAAAACACACTCTCACTATAAGAGTACAAAAAATATTCACTCTTATCAAGAGAGCAGCAAAAGCACTCAAGATATATTAATAAGAATAAATCAAAAATTTGTTCCAAACGAATATGAATCTTGAAATTATTGAAAAAATAAAGTAAAAATCAAGAGAAAAATAAAAAGGAACCACTACTGATAAAAGATGATGATCGGTGATAACCCAAAGAAGCAAGATCTTGAAAAATGCGAGCGACGACTAGATTTTTTAATTTAACTATGCAAATATCATTTTTTTTAATAGTATGAATAGTTAACTTCGCATTAAAATATAATATGCTAAAATCAAAAACATAATACACATATGATAAAAAAAAATAGCAGAGAAAAATATAATAAAAATAGGATAAAAGAATATTTTAGTGCTTTTCATGGCCACTTAATAGCAAAAAATGTAAAATTTTAACGGAATGGTTAATTTACTCAATGGTTGCAAAATATAAGAACTAATAATATATTGTTGATAATAATAAGGACTAAGTATTTGATTTTGTCAAATTATAGGGCTAAATAGTAATTTTTCCAAAAAATAAAATAAAAAAACTAATTTCAAAAGTGCAAAAAGACAAAGACAAGAAAGCAAAGAAGTCCTATCTCTCTCGTGATGAGTTTCTCTCTCTCTCCCTCTCTTTCTCTCTCTGTCCTCCCGTGAACTCAGTCATGCGACGTCGCTTTCACTTTTCAGACTGCTGCAGCCAACATCTAACAGTATTTCTCATTCTCACACATGAATTTCCTTATCGAGGACAATATCTCCTCTATCTCATCATAGCCATAGTCTTCCATGTTTCCTAAGCTAACTAGCACAGTTAGAAACACTGAAAGAGAGGAAGAAAGACAGACAGAGACTGTTACTGTTAATAATGGGTTTTGTTCAATTCTTGTTATATTTTCTGGTTTCAGCTTTTTCTCTTAATTCTTGCATTGCTAAAGCCAATGATGAAGTACCTATTAAACTCAACGATGACGTTTTAGGCCTCATTGTGTTCAAATATGACCTCATAGATCCATTTTCCTCTCTGACTTCTTGGAATGAAGATGATGATTCACCATGTTCATGGAAATTCATTTCCTGCAATCCTGTTACTGGTCGGGTTTCTCATGTTTTGCTTGACAATTTATCCTTATCAGGAAAGTTAAGCAAAGGGCTTCAGAAATTGCAGCATTTAGAGGTATTGTCTCTTTCGTATAACAATTTTAGTGGTGAGATTATTACAGATTTTCCTGTCATTCCAACACTTGAAAATCTCAATCTTAGTCATAACAGTCTTTCAGGTCAACTTCCACTTTCTGTTATGACTTCCATTAAATTTCTTGACCTTTCTTATAATTCTTTATCAGGTCCACTTCCTGATAATCTCTTCCAGAACTGTTTATCTCTCCGCTATCTTTCTTTAGCTTCAAATTCGCTTCAAGGTCCATTACCTTCTACACTATCAAAATGTTCTTTATTAAATACACTCAATCTCTCCAACAACCATTTTTCCGGTAATCCTGACTTTTCTACCGGAATTTGGTCGTTAAATCGGTTAAGAACTTTGGATCTTTCAGAGAATGAGTTTTCTGGTTCGGTACCAGAAGGAATATCTGCCCTACACAATATGAAAGTCCTACAACTTGAGGGTAACCAGTTCTCTGGTCCATTACCTATAGATATTGGACTTTGTATACATCTGTATAAATTAGATTTTAGCGACAATCTCTTCACCGGACCATTGCCGGAATCTCTCCGGCAACTCACCTCACTGAGTTATATCAATTTATCAAATAATATGTTGTCCAGTGATTTCCCTCAATGGATTGGTGACTTAAGCAAGCTTGTTTATATAGACTTTTCTAGTAACAGTCTTACTGGAAGTCTGCCTTTATCTATAAGCGAAATCAAAGCTCTTACCTATTTAAGTTTGTCAAATAACAAACTTAGTGGTAATATTCCAATCTCCATTGTTTATTGTAGCATGTTATCAGTCATTCGATTGAAAGGTAATAGCTTTAATGGAACTATACCAGAGGGTTTGTTTGATCTTGGTTTAGAGGTAGTTGATTTTTCAGATAACCAATTGGTTGGTTCAATTCCGGCTGGTTCAAGAAGATTTTATGAAGAGATTCGTACACTTGATCTTTCAAGAAACAATTTGACAGGAAATGTAACAGCAGAAATGGGTCTGTCTTCCAATTTGAGATATTTGAACTTGTCATGGAACAATCTTCAATCCAGAATGCCAGCAGAGGTTGGTTATTTCCAGAATCTAATGGTGTTGGATCTTCGAAACAGTGCAATATTTGGTTCAATCCCAGCAGATATTTGTGAGTCTGGAAGGTTGAGCATTCTTCAATTGGATGGGAATTCGTTGGGTGGTTCAATTCCTGAAGAGATTGGAAACTGTTCTTCTCTCTATTTGCTGTAAGTCTTTTATTTCAAAATAGCTACTCATTTGAAATTACTGAGTATTTGGAATTTGTATTCTGCTGATTTTTTTTCTTTTGGTTTTATATTTAGACATAATTATGCAGAACATCAATTATCTCAAATAACTAGTTATCCAAATGGATCCACACAATTTTTTGATTTTGGATGAGTAATTTAGATAATTCATGTATATAATTTCTTTCTTTCCAAGTTCTGCCTTGTTTTATAAATGTAAATGCTTAATTATTATGCTTGCTTGTGCAGGAGCTTGTCTCACAATAATTTAAGTGGTCCTATTCCCAAGTCCATTTCAAAGCTAAGCAAACTCAAGATTCTAAAACTGGAATTCAATGAACTGAGTGGAGAAATACCATTAGAGCTTGGAAAATTGGAGAACCTACTTGCTGTCAACATATCATATAACAATCTCATAGGCAGGCTTCCTTCTGAAGGTATATTTCCAAGCTTGGATCAAAGTGCATTGCAAGGAAATTTGGGAATTTGCTCACCTTTGCTCAAGGGACCATGTAAGATGAATGTTCCTAAACCTCTAGTCCTCAATCCATACGCCTATGGTAACAACAGACCGCGAAATGTATCCTCGGATTATGACTCCATAAGCTCTCATCACCGCATGCTCCTCAGCACCTCAGCAATTATTGCAATTTCAGCAGCTGTGTTTATAGTGTTTGGAGTAATTGTGATTAGCCTCTTGAATATATCTGCTAAGAAGCGGCTTGCATTTGTCGACCATGCTTTAGAAAGCATATTCTCTAGCTCTTCAAGGTCTGCAAGTCCTGCCACAGGCAAGCTTATTCTGTTTGATTCAAGATCATCTTCCCCAGATTTCATTAACAATCCAGAATCACTCCTTAACAAGGCTTCTGAGATAGGAGAAGGAGTGTTTGGAACTGTTTATAAGGTCTCATTAGGTGGTTCTCAAGAAAGAATGGTAGCTATAAAGAAACTTGTTACATCGAATATTATTCAGTACTGCGAGGATTTTGATCGAGAAGTTCGAATTTTAGGCAAAGCAAAGCATCCTAATCTGATTTCATTGAAAGGGTATTACTGGACACCTCAGTTTCAGCTATTGGTATCAGAATTTGCAAACAATGGTAGCTTACAAGCAAAACTTCATGCTACTCCTCCTCTTTCATGGGCTAATAGATTCAAAATTGTGCTTGGAACAGCAAAGGGGCTTGCTTATTTGCATCATTCCTTTCGTCCTCCGATCATTCACTATAACATAAAACCAAGCAACATTCTTCTTGATGATAATTGCAATCCAAAGATTTCAGACTTTGGACTTGCAAGACTTCTAACAAAGCTTGATAAGCATGTGATGAGTAATAGATTCCAGAGCGCATTGGGGTATGTGGCACCGGAATTAGCGTGTCAAAGCTTGAGGGTGAATGAGAAATGCGATGTGTATGGTTTTGGAATTATGATTCTTGAGGTAGTGACTGGTAGAAGACCAATTGAATATGGTGAAGATAATGTTGTCATATTAAATGATCATGTTCGAGTTTTACTCGAGCAAGGGAATTCATTGGATTGTGTTGATCCTAATATGGGAGATTATCCAGAAGATGAGGTTTTGCCTGTTCTGAAATTGGCCTTGGTTTGTACTTCTCAAATTCCATCCAGTAGGCCTTCCATGGCAGAAGTTGTGCAAATACTGCAAGTTATTAAGACTCCTGTTCCACAGAGAATGGAGATGTTCTAGTTAACAATGTCAATTATTTCTTGTTTCACTTTTATTTTGACTTGTAAGATTGGATTACCTGACTCTCTTTTTTTCATTTTTGTATAATTATTTTTCTATAACTAGTTAAAATTCTCTTCCTCCATCAACATTTAGGATGCTAAAGCGTGGTTCGATTAGTTACCTCTTTGATATGCATGTTTAATTAGTAAGGTACCTTTCACTATCATACTAAACAAATAGCACAGGATGTTCATGTGCTACTTCTGGTTGCACTAGTATATTAGATGAAGGATTGCATATTCCGCCGATTGCTTTCTTGATGTACATTGTACTTTATAATTGTATTTTGCAAGTATTATTTCATATACATAACATTTTTTACATAAGTATTATCCCAATAAATGAGTCTTGCATCTTATTGGTTGCACATTCCCATTGTTGATCGATGGAGTCGTTGGGTTGAAAATCTCTCTGCAATTTCTAAGTCTTTTGAAATGGGTTTTTTTTTTTTTTTTTTTTTTATGTAAACATTGTACTTTTATAATTTGTATTTTGCAAGTATTATTCATATACATAACATTTTTTACATAAAGTATTAGTGCCCAATAAAATGAGTCTTGCATCTTATTGGTTTGCCACAATTCCCATTTGTTGATTCGATGGAGTCGTTGGGTGGAAAATTCTTCTCTGCAATTTCTCAAGTCTTTCGGAAATGGGTTTTTTTTTTTTGGTTTTTTTTAAACATTGGCTTATCTTAAGTCCACCACGGCCTGACCAAATCGGTGCAAATCCACAATGGAGATGCAAAAAGCGTTTCCTCCCGAGGTTTTTTAAAAGAGGTAAAATACTTCCTTCCGCGTTTGTTTTGCCACCCAATTGAAAAAAAAAAAAAAAAAAAAAAAAAAGCTAGGAATAAACCACAAATCTCTCAACCATGGACCAAAAAAAAAAAAAAAAAAAAAAAGCTAGGAATAAACCACAATCTTCTCAACCATGACCATTATTTATATTATTATTATTATAATTTCCAAAGCTTTTCCCATTTGCTCCTAAGAACACATCTTGCTTGGGGCACCATGTCAAATCTAATAACAACACTCTAAATAATTAATATGGACATTTTTTTTATTATTTGAATCAAAATAGGAAACTTCAATATTTTTATACTTCCACAAATTTCAAACTAATTTAAAGAGTCTTATCAATAATGACATGGATGATTATGAAGTTTCCAATATATATTAAGATAATCTCAAAATTTGCGCAGCTTTTATATTTAGCCAGATGTGAAAGTTTTGAATTTATTATCAAATGATATTTGAGAATGTGAATTGCATGTTGTTTTCACTCATTTTATGTACTAATAAATTTAATTTTTTATATAGCTTTTATTGATTTTTCTATATAATTTTTAATTGAATGCAAATATTAGTCTTTTTATCACCATTTTATTATCTATATATTTACTAGTCATTATTTATTTTTATTTTACAATTTTAATTTTTATATATTTTTGTCCTTTTTTTAGAATAAGAAACATTGGGATGGTGAAAAAAGGGATATTGATTAATTAATAATGATAAACTCCTATATTTGAATTAGCCATAAATTTCATTAAGAATCTATAATTTTTATAGTAATATTTCATTTGATTGGTCATATATTTTTGGAATATAATAAATGTTAAAAATAAAAATAAATACATTTGAAATACTGTTTAACAGAAAAAAAAAAAAAAAAGATAGCAAACGTATATTCTATAAGTATAAATAGAAAAGGGAAAAGAAAAGAAAAAAAGAAGAGAGAAATGAAGTTATTGTGCTTAGGGATGGTAAAATCAACTCAATGCAAGGGTATCTGAATCCAGTCAAACCCGAATTTTAAGGTTTTAATTAAATATGGATAGAGTTTGGATAAAGTCCGAAAGTTTTATTTTGAGTATGAGTATTGTTATTAGAAATTCAAACCTAGATCTGGACTCAAAATCTAAATTTCAAGAGATTATATAAATTATAACTTTAATTATATTGTAGTATAGAGTAGTCTAAAATGACTTCACTCTAGTTTTCATATATTAATTTTAATTGGTCAAATTTTTAAAGTTTTAGATTTTGAAATTTAAAATTCAATTTTATTTGAGTTAAATTTCAATTTCACAAATAATAAAGAAAAATAATGGTGATAATGGTAGTTTGGAGTGCTCAGATAATTATATTTTTATGTTTAATGATTTTGTTATCTGAGTTTTTAGCCATTCTATTAATTGATTTTTATTACAATTATACTTGGAGAGTCTACTAATATTACACTTTGAGTGAAGTATTATGATAAAAAGACGGCTTTATAATTAAAGTTTTAATTTATCATTTTTTTAAATATTTATTTATTTTAATTTTTTATATATGTACTACATAAACCATTTGGATAAAAACTTTTACTTTTTTAATTCAATGTAATTTAATCTTTAAACAATATGAGTACAATATGAGTATGTGGATAAATGGGTATCTGTATTTAATAATACCCATGGGTACCCACCAATAAATGAGTACTCGTGATTATATAAGAACCTATTAGATTTGAGTATAGGTGTAACATTCCTTAACCGATAGGGTATCGGGTAGGTATAGGGATTGGGGATGAGATGGGGAATGGGCATGGGTATTGCACTATCCTATTTGAAACCTATCTATTTGCATCTCTAATTGTGTTTGGCTGCTTGCATATAATAACTATTATCTTGTTCAATTTTCTATTTTGTGGGAAAAATTTTAATATTTGTTTATTTAATTAAATAATTGAAATATTATAAATACATATATATAATAGTATCTATATAATATATAAAAGAAGAATAATTTGCCTTATATGGAAGCCAAATGTAAGTATCACAATTTGTCATTTGACAGTATTTTGAATTATAGAATGACAAATGTTAGAAGTATAAATGAAAAATGAAAAGAAGATAAAATTTCATAGAAGTAATTTATTAACTGTGTATATTAATATATCTTTTCATTCCTCAAAATGGATATTAAAATATATATATATTTTATTAAAAATAGAACTTTTCTTTTTATACAAATATAAACTCAAATTTTTATGAAAATTGTCTATTAAGATGTGACGAAAATGAGAATGAGAAAAATGATACTATTACAAGTCTTATTATCATTTGTAGGAATATTGTTTATGCATTTTTTTATGCAGGTCATATTATGTATAGATTTTACTGATTCATACCTTGGTGAAAGGCTTTGCCAAGATAGCACATATTAACATCGCAACTTTTTCAACATATCTCAATGAGATATAATTTTGTAATGTTTTTCACGATCATTTTACTATTTAATTTTGTTATTTTTAAATGATCGAATAAAAAATTATTTTTTCTTTTAATATAAAATAGTAATAATAAATTGTAATATAAATAGTAAAAAATGATTAAGTAATCAACCGTACAAGGAAACTAATGGAACTAATATAATAAATCTAATCTCGATATTAAAGAACTAACTGCTTGCTAATAGATGGGTCTCAATTTTAATGTACTTTTAACTTACTAATGAAACTAATATCAACTATTTTACCTCCAATTTATTTGTCTCTTATTTACTATTAATATACAATATCAGTGTTACAAACCCCATATAATTCAAATGATATATATAAAGAAAACTTGAATTGAGTAAAAACACATAACATAATAATATATACTACGAATATATTACCAATTAATTCAAGTTGTAAAGTTGTACCAGATCTCAAATGATGAAAAAAAAAAAAAATTATGATAGTATATAAAAAAATTAAAAATAAAAATTGATACTTCAAAGATGAACAATAATCGAGAAGTTTTCAATATACCCTTGATAGCAAAAAAAAAAATAATAATAATAATAGTGAAAGAAAATAATAATTACTCTCTCCATTTTTTTTATATAGGAAAATTTTCCATTTTAAGTGTTCTTTTTATATATAAAATTTTGCCTAATTTGGTAACTTTGAAAACTGTGCTAATGTGAAAAGTCTATTTTACTTTTGTTTTAGTCATTTGTGAAACTTTTAATGTGAGAAATTCTCAATGTAGTGGCAAACAAAAGGTATAGATGAACATTTAATATGGAGAAATTTTCGAGAATAAGTTTTTCACATCAGTTTCCGTTGAAAACAAATGTGCTCATATATACGATATGAGCGTTGATTAAAATAGAGTTTGAATAGAAAAAAATCGTAAAATTTTTAAGTTAACCATATTGAAATGAATCCTTACAGACTTCATCCGAATATTTGAAAAATTACGTGATATTTAAAGTACGTTTTCAATAACTAAAAGCAGTTGAAAGGTTAAATTACGTGCTCATATATATGATATGAGCGTTGATTAAAATAGAGTTTGAATAGAAAAAAATCGTAAAATTTTTAAGTTAACCATATTGAAATGAATCCTTACAGACTTCATCCGAATATTTGAAAAATTACGTGATATTTAAAGTACGTTTTCAATAACTAAAAGCAGTTGAAAGGTTAAATTACGTGCTCATATATATGATATGAGCGTTGATTAAAATAGAGTTTGATTATATTTGAAAAATTACATGATATTTAAAGTGCGTTTTCAATAACTAAAAGCAGTTGGAAGGTTAAATGAGTATAAATTTTCATATTTTCACACAACTTTCCCGAATAAAGGACCAAAATATGAATTTGCCTCCTCAGGTCAGAGCATAAACTTCATTTTTTTGCAACCACTTGTATTCTTTTCATTCCAACAAATCATTTAAAAGCCTCATTGAAGATTGAAACGTAATTTAAGATACACATTGATATTAAAAGAGGAATAAATGAGATATTATGGGTAAATTTGAAAAAAAAGGGCAAAAGAAGTTGGTTACACTACTTTCTTAATTTTGGTGAAAAATTAGTTGTTCCTATATTAAAGAACTAGGTGGTTTCCCGCGCTTTGCGCGACTATATAATATATTTAATTTTAAGTTATAAAATATGTGCATTGAATAAATTGTTAAAATTTAAAGTGCATATAATGCATAGGTAGTATGATTCAAATGTATTACATAAAATTGAAAATTTTTATTCTAACTAATGAATGAATTATTCATGCAAAGGTAAAAAAAAAATGCTAATTTAATATTTATATGTGGCCAATTAAAACAGAGAAAACATATCATTATATATAATAAAGGAGAATTTTTAATGAAAAACATGTTTTTTCTTCAAAATTTACAATTTTTTCCTCCAATTAGTTAAATACTACTAAAATATTAGAGAATCTCTCTCTCTTTAAAGGAAGTGCCATATCAACATTCAATAAAACCCTTAATTCTCCTTTATTATATATAATGATAATGAGGTAGGGAGTATTTGATAGCGAAAGCAAATAAAACTTAGTGGTGAAATTCTTTTTTACACAAAGTAAACATGTATATAATGATATACAAAATTTCCACAATTCCTAAATAAGACTAGGGAGAACCTCTCAATTAGGATTTTCAATATGATAAGTATTAGTGTTATAATTTTAATATAACATAATAAATTACACGTTATGTTTTGTTCAAATTTTTAGCCTAAAATTTTATTCAATATAATCAATTACTAAACTAAGAAGAGATTGAGTTAAAATTAAATTTCTAGATTAAAATTAATTATATTAGTATTCATACTGAGAAATAATTACGGGCTGACTAACAATTTGAGCATGCTATGTATTAAAGTCTATCATTACAGGAGAAATTACACACCTGAACTTTTTTATTAGAGGATTGAAAGGTTTGGCTTCACGATAAATGTTTCACCAACTGTTGGAATAAAATAAATAGTGCTTGAAAATAGAAACTGTAGAAAGCTTTGTAAAAGAAAGAGATTGCTTGAATTAAAAATATCTTATTGACAAAGATTGAGATTGTGAAGGCAAATTAACAATACTTGGAACAAAGAAATTACAATTAACATAAAGGAAATTGAAATAAAATTGCTTGATAATTGTAGTTGAGTTTGATCTTGAGTTTGATTTTTAGAGTTGATTGTTGGGGCTAGTTCTGTTGTTCGGACTTGGCTTTTATAAGGCACCAGCTGGTTATCGAATTGTCACCTCTTCAACCATTCAGGTGAACAACAGTTCATGTAACTTGTCTTCATCGTGCATCATGTTAACTCCTAAGATATATATTGCTTTAATTAATTAATTAATTAACTATGAGCCTCTAATATGTCAAATGCCATTTAATTTAAATTTGATAGAATTGAAGGATTTTCTAAGATTTCCACATATTCTACTAGAATTCTACACAGAGTTTTATGAAATTTGTAAGAGTTTTTTTTTATAGATTTTGATTGACTTTGATAGAATTACAGTGATTTTTATATATCTAATCAAAATTAATTTTAGGACCTAATTGAACAAATTAAAAGATTTTGGAGCTCAACTTAAAAGCTGAAAACACGAGGGACCAAAATGTAAATGTGACATCTTCTCTGAAATCATTTTTTTTCTTCATTAAAACATTACCGCCGCCGATAGTGGAAGGCCTACAATGGCCAACGCCACCGCCGCCGGCTATCCTGTGCTCCCACAACAGTCACGATGTCGTTAAACGACCATAGGCTTCTCGTCCCTTGACATGAACGGTGACCGTCTCGTCGAAAAATCGCAAGTTCATATATATATATAATATAATATATATATATATATATTTAAAACTGAAAACCAATAACCACCATTAGTCAGGACCTGCGCTAACTTCCAAAGCTTGCGCAAGGAGGGGATTTTATATTAATTTAAAACTGAAAATCAGCAACTACCATTGGCTAGGACTTGCGCCAACTTCCAAAGCTCGTGCAAGGAGTTGATTTTATATTAATTTAAAACTAATGCATGACCGATCGCTTGCAACTCATGAAGGCTAGTGGTCCATCCACAACAATGGCAGATTGCATTCTTTAGTTCTTTGACTATTTCAAAACTTTTTCAAATTTTTTTATTTGATTAAACCCTTATTTCATTGAAATCAATGCATAAAAATTCTAAAAAAAATAATCAAATTAATTCTAAAAATTTGCAGCACCATTAATATTAATTTTTGTCAAAATATCAAAATTTCAGAACATGAATTAATTCTAAACTAATCCGATAATTAATACATTGTTTTACATCTTAAGGGATAGAGAGAAGTGGTACGGGTATTTTAGGATACACACTCCGCTCCTATCCGTTTAAACAGGATATGGGTAGTCATAAAAGGGTCTGAACAGATATAAATAATAAAATAACTACTTGTAACGGATATGGATAGTGAAATTGCTACTAATAATGGATATAGGTAGGGTATATGTATAGATATTTGGATACCCGCTACCCATTAACTGCTATATTAAACAGGTTCGGTAGTAAGTACCCTATCCACGGGTACCCTATCAATTATTAGTAAAAAAATATATTTTAAATAAATTCAAACTTAAATAGTTTAAAATTCATGAGCACCCTATCCGTTTAAGAGCTATTTTAAATGAATTTTGGACAGGTAGTAAAATTTAAACGGGTTCGAATACGGTTATTTGAATGGGTTTAGAACGGATACGAGTAGTAAAATTTTAAACGAATACATATCCTTATTAAGGAGTGTATTGGATCAAGACTCCATTTGATTTTAAAAGAATTTTGAAATCTTTGGATTTGGAATGGATTTGTAAATGACTCTTTTATTCATACCTAGCATCTTAAAATCTGATAAAAGCAATAATTTTATAAAATCCTTCCAAATCAGCAATTTTTGAATACTATCAAATTTGTATGGACTTTTAAAAAGTCATAATTGAATACCATCAGATTTTATGGATTTTATAAGAGTCTAAATTGAACCCACAAGATTTTAAAATCTAATAGGGTCTTAATGCAGTACACCCTCCTTAGTCCCCAAGGTTTGATTCTGTCTCGTTAGATGGTCATTCCTTTCAAAATCAACTATTCTTTCCATTAATTGAAACAAAAAACAAACTAAGAATGAGGAGAGAGAGATATTTTAAATTGACAAGTAGTACCCTTTATAAAACCAGAAATTGTTCATATCCAAGAAACCCATTTACATGAACTCTTAATTGCTAACAGCCGCGAAATGACTGTTATTAACAACCACAAAAATTCAACAAATTGCATAATCAATGTAGCTATTGCCACAACCACAACTACCAACAAAAGAGCAATCAAAGAAAGCAGCATATACGAAATCTTAATGGACATTGCAGGGTACCGTTAAACTTTGCATACGCAGATTGCAGAATAAATTTCTCTTCGATTCTTATCCTTCTCATCAAGATCTAGACCCTCAATCAATGGCACCGACCACTAGCTTCAAGCTCGATCTCATAGACAAAGGCAACAAATTTTTTAAAGCTACAATGAGACCAAATTTTTTGCAGCAAAAAATGCAATTCTTATAAATATTGTAAAGAATAAAAAGAAAAAAGAAAAAGAAAAAAAAAAAAGAGAAATTAACACCTACAAATATTTTGAGAAGAGGAAAGGTCATCCAGAGGTCTAGTGAGTGTAATAGAACTCCAAGCTTAAAACTAGAGAAAGAGGATGGAAAGACTTGCTCCGACTGATATTAGTCACCAAAAAATGTAATATTTCGGTCAAAATCCAAGGGTTTTATGGATACTGAAGAAAACTCACAAGACATAAAGGGAAATTATGAGAAAGCAGTAAAAGAAAAAATGAAGGCAAAGGGAAAGGGAAAAAAAAAAAAGAAAAAGAAAATATGCATTGATGCTAATTAGCTATCTCACTGAAGTCTTATGGCCCACTTTTGTTTGTCTTGGGATAAATCTAAAGAAATAATCAAAATTAATTACCAAAATTATCAAGACAAAGGAAAATAATTAATTTTGAGTTTGAATATATAGTTGCTGAGATGGAGATTTAGAGAGATGAAGGAGATAACAATTGTTATTACAACATTAGAAGGACACTAATGGAACTAATATCATAAAATCTAATCTCAATATTTTTTTTGAGAAATGAAAGCTTTATCAACTTCTACAAATGACAAAATGGAAGATGGAACCTCCTACACCCAAATGAGTTTTTGTTCTTCAAAAGAAAAAACTGACTCTACTAAATTATGGGCCACAATATTGCCCTCCCTACGGGTATGACCTATATTTAGGAGTGGCCATTTCACGATTTTTGGAGTCGGAATCACTGATTTGGAACCAGTGGAACCGGAATCGGAATCTTGAGAAATCAAAATCGGTCCGAACCGGAACTAAATTTGAAATTAGGGTTTGCAGTCCGGTTTCGATTTCAACTTTTAAGGAACTGTGAACCGACGGTTTTAAGAATCAGTCGGAGCCGACTGGAACCGGCGATTCTGATGGTTCGAATCAACGGTTCCACCCGATTTCAATAAATTTTTTTATTTTTTCAAATATTTTTATAAAATTTTCAAATTAATCCTCCTAACAACTATATAACGACTAGTTTTAAGGGTATTTATAGAAATTTGATTTTTTAGATTTACTATCAATACCCCTTTTCATTTAAAAAAAATAAACTAAGTCCAACCCCTTTTTCTAAAAAAAAAAAAAAAAAAAAAAAGTCCTAAAACCCCTTTCTTCTAAAAAAAAATAAAAAAAAAAAGATTTCATGTCTTTTAAAAGACAAACATAAATTTAAGTTAAGCCTTTTTTTAAAAAATTTTTGCTTAAAGTTTTTTCCTAAAAAAAAAAAAAAAAAAAAAAAAAAATTCATGTCTTTTAAAAGACAAATAAATTAAGTTAAGCCTTTTTTTAAAAAAATTTTTGCTTAAAGTTTTTTCTAAAAATTATTTCATAAATATTTAAATTTTTAATTTTTAATAAAAAAATATTATCTAATTTTTTTATTTTATAATTATGCTATTCGCCGGAAAATCAATTGGAGAATCGACTGGAACCGCTAATTTTAAAACCATTAAACAACCGGGAATAAAATTGAAACCGTTCGGTTCCAAGCTGGAACCGGAACCATTTATTTTCGATTCGGTTCCGATTCTAAATTTTTTAGAATCGAAATCGGCGATTTCAGAATCATGGCTACCGCTACCTATATTAATAGAAAGGAAAGAGTTTGCAATATCTAGTAAATTCAACAGACGAGTCCCAAGTTTATTTGCGGGGAAAAGACATGGTTTTCAAAGCTTGAACCACTACGAGACAATTGAGTTCTAAGACAACAGAGGAACAACTCAACTCTTTTGCACGCTTCAACACAAAAATAGGAGCTTCACATTCAGCCTCCACCAGTTCAAGAGGGCCAACACCTTTCTTAGCGCTTGCTGCTAAAAGTTCTCCCCTCTCATCTCGAGCTACAAAACCCAAACCCACCTTAGCCCTATGTATTTTCTGTAAAGGTACTTATTTTTGGTTTGCTTGGAATTAGTAGGTTCGTCCTTACTTGAAGCACCCTAACATATGGATTGATTTTATATATATATTGAAATTGTCACAATCTGCAAATCCATAATTTCTAATTATCAAAGGCTCAAATTTGTTACACATCAGAAGGTTAAACGACAACCATTAAAAGCATCAGATAGTGTATATTATTTACTAATCACGCTTCTGCCTTGTCATTGCCAAACAACCACGTTATGCTTCTATTCAACGCGATGGATTAAACATTCGATTCCAAAAAGAAAGTCCTAAACCAAGAACAAGAGAAGGATACTTCCCATTGAACGAGAGAAGTGTTTGCGAGGCAGCGAGGGAGATAGAGCTTGAAAGTCGGGCGATTAGGGATTTTTGAAGAGGCAGTTCAATGCAAACAAAAGGACCTTTCGTTTAGGGGAAGTGGTATCAAAACGGTGAGTTTTGCCTCTTTTGAGTTAAATTAATCCAATGTCAAACACCGGATCCTACCATAATATCATTTTGTTCCTTTTTATAGTCTGATTTTAAAATTAGAGTGCCAATATATTTAAATTTTCAAATTTGGCTTTCATACACTGTTACTGTATTTGTTGTCAGCTCTTTATATTTAATTTGTTAATTTCCTATATTTCACACATTCATTTTTTAGAATTTGTATATTTAGATTATGTATCTGATTTATTTTTTATATTTTTCATTTTACTTTTTAAATGTAAGTGCATGAGATTTTGCTTCAAAAGAAAATTTAAGTAATGTAAACAATATGTGCATTCCCTTGCAGCAAAATATTCACTCTGCTACTTGTAATTAACTCCGACTCTCCATTATTCACTTCAGTCGTTGAGACAAAGCTTCAGATATAATAATCTGAGGTGTAGATATTATGGTTGCCGTAGATTCTGGCGTAGTAGGACTCAGATAACCGGAATTATCCATGTTTGTCTGTATTTTGAGCATGTCAACCTCTCCATCACTCCTCATTATCACTACGCTGCTTCGTAATCTTTCTGCAAAGAATGCTTTGTTTTTCCTCAGATGCCTATCACAAACACACAATCAATTAAATTAAATTATAATGTAATTAACTCAGCTTTTGAAATTAGAAAAGAAAAGAAAATAATTCCTTGGTATAGAAAAGGATCTGTGCCTGTCAAGAACCACCAAGGTAGCATGAAGATTTGTGGTCTGCTCGAGAATCACTAGCTTCAGAGGGTGCCCCATTGCCACTTTCATGCAAGGGACTACCTGCAAGCCAATTGGTAAATCATATATAGTAAATTAAGGGATTTTCTCTGAAACATCATCAAAAGGTTAAATGACAGATCACATATGATAAATTGAGGGATAGTGGATAAAATTAAGCCAATTGACGAACCCCTTTTTGCTCGCATTGCTCAATTATTCTCCGAATCTTCTGATACTTATGATCATTCTTCCACTCACTCCTGGATTTCAGTGCTGACAAATCTCCATGATCAAACGTCCAAACATCTAACCATGTCTTGCATGATACTGAAACAAAAGGGAAATTAAACGTGCTTTCATTAAGGAAAATATGTTGAAAACAAGTGAAATTTGAAGAATAATTAAGAAGATAAAGCCACATACATGGTAAAGGAAGCCATGGCATGACACCAAGGAGAGTGATAGTACAGTGAGTTTGAATAACATGATCAAGTGCCCATTGGAGAGGTTGTCGGGAGAATTCCTTCAACGCATCCATTACAATTACTACATGTTTACAGATGTTCATCGGCACGAGCACCTCAGCCAAAGTATTACTGCCTGCACCAGTAGCTTCATCCCTCTCATCCTCGTCTGTGCCTTTGATGCAAACAATCATTTCTTGACCTTAAAGACGTTTTCTTTTGAGAGGGAGAGAGTTAGAACAAGAAAAGAAGAAGAGAGGAGGGAAAAGAGAGAAGCTTAGGCCCCTTGCTGCCCATAAATAGGAAAAAAAAATCCTCCCACCATTATTGGAGATATCAAACAAAGAGACATAAAAATGGATAGGTATTTCAAGGATTGTGCAGCATAGTAGAGGTCGATACAAGAAATTAATTAGATAACAAGGTAAGGCGGAGTGAGCTGTTAATGCCACATATATTAACTAGAATTAGTCCATACAACTACTCTTCCAAGCAGGATTTAGTGCAAACAGAAAAATTAACCATGCACGACAAGAGAAGTTGCATGAAATAATTACATTTACTTAAGTAGTGTCGGCAATACAAACACCAAATGACAAATATTACATACAGTACTAGATGCACACAGCTTATAATAATAAAGATTTTAACAATGAATTGAAAATCTACAAAAGGCGAACAAAACAATCCTTATTGTATATTGATTCAAAGTAATTTAATTTTCAGAAACATTATAAAGTTGAAATGATCTTATAATATTTAGCTGGCAGACACTTCATTCACTAAACACCAATATGAGACTTTGATGGATGGTTCAAAGCAGCATACAAAAGCTCAAGAAGCTGCAGAAGTTGATGGATTGAATGCTTTCTGCTCTGCACAACTGAGAGTTTCATGTGGTCCTGCCTCTTCTCGGCCTACACCCAACAAGTCGAGGTAATACTGATAGTGTGAGATAATGTTGTTCATGGCATCAATGTCACCCTGGCCACAGGTAAGCTCCCCATAGAGAACATTCATTGTAGAACCAAAACCAGGAACCCGCTTGGACAGAGTGTCATTCTTAGTGGGTTTCCAGTTGCCAACAAAGATATCATGAGCAGAAGGTTGCGATTTCTTTATTGGGGTCATCCACCTCAAGATTGCAGCCTGGAAGGCAAGGGTAGCATTTTGCTCAATGTACTCAGGATGGTTCAACAAATCCACCTTCAGAGCTTCTCCAGTAGCTCCATAATTGTAGTTCCTTTAACAACAACATTATCTTAGATGGCAACCCATAACAAAATATTTTCACAATGAAAAACCCCATCATGTGAATCTAAAATTTTACTGCCCACGTTCTATCATCAATCACTAATAAAATTTAAAGGATCAATAGCCTTGTCCTAATTCGCGATTATATAGCTCAATCAAAATTAATCTCCTAAATTAAGACTCCATAGAATCAGATACAAATTGGGTTAAGCAAAATAAAAGAGCCAGAAAGTGTCATGCAGAAAAAGAAACATGAGAAATAGAGAGAGCACATAAGATACCAGTAGATTGGCAAGGCACCGCGACCATAGTATTCAGCACCAGGAGCGCAGGGATAGGTAAATTTGTAGAAGTCATCACAGTATGACTGGCTAGGGCTCATTTCCCTGTTGTAGCAAAGACCATAGGCCAATGGTCCTCCTGTAGCCACTCCATAACCACCTGCAATTATCATAGAAACCAGTTATGTGCATCGAATTCTAGGGGGATTACTAGCTATATTCAGAATTTAGTAACTAGGTGTTATCATAACGTAGGAACCAAAATGAATCAAAAACTCGCAGCTTCTCTGGTACAAACGAATTCCATGAAATCATATATTCAATTCATTTAAAAATCCATCTTTACATGTTTGGTATAAATAAAAGTCCATTTAAAATTAGAATTCTACATTTTAATTGTATAGAATTGGTTATGCTTGAAGCAAATTCTATCCTTAACAAGGGCGAAACCTACTACAACCTAATGAATTCTAAAAACTCATTTAGAAATGAAATGAATCCCATCCTATATAAGAAATCTCTTTTCTATCAAACAAAAAAATATTTAATGGAAGTGTTCGAGCACATTAAATGCTAAATCAAGAAAAAGAAAATCCAACCACAGAGAGAGATTTAGAAAAACTAACAGGAGGTTTTGCTGCCAACATGGCCGAGGAAGGCCGCGAGTTCCTTCATCTGCATGAGTTTGCCGCCGGTGGTACAGAAACCGAGCGGCTGAAAAGTGGTGGAAGCAGTGATGAATGATTGATAATCCCAAAACCCAATAGCATGAGCGACTGGAGCATTTCTCTTAGAGAAAAGATTCTCGAACTGATAAGTCTGAAATATATCTGAAATAGTCTGATTGCAACAATATACAGACCAATCCTTACATTCCCATCCTCTCGTACAAACCTTCTTTCCTTTCACCTTTTTCACTATCGTCTTCTCTGAATCATCTCCGTTTACCAACAAACTCCAATTGAACGTCAATGCCAATAACAATGCCACACTTATCCAACCCTTCTTCTCCATTTCCCTATTCTGGAAATGCTAATTTCTGGATCTGTTGCTTCTACTCAGTCTTAACTAAGTTAAAACCCCCAATTTGAAGAAGAAGAAGAAACAAGTGTTGGATCGCAAGTCTTTTTCAGCTTCCGTAAACCAGTTATTGCATCAGTGCTTAAATCGCTTGCATCTTTGACACATATCAACGGTGGATATTAGCTGTGGTTGGGAATAGATGCTCGACGATTATGGAACACAGGCTGGCTTTTAAGGGTTGGAAGCTTTGGAGCTGACCCCACCCGATTCTTCCACCGACAACCAAAATACCAGCAGGGGCTGTGCGCCTTTTTACATTTGATTTCTGTATGGAGATAGAAATCTCTTGGTTAACCATCTTGACGTTTACGACAACTTTACCCAATTTTTAACTTTTAAGCCAACGCAAAAACGCACCGTTCTGGACAAAGGAGGAAACGCACCGTTTCATGAAATTAGATAAAACGGTATCTGTCCTTCCGCGTTGACTTTGGTATCAGAATTCAAAAATTCTGCATGCACAGAGAAGTTGTGTTTGTGTGCCATTTCGCATAGTAATCTATTATAGCAAATAAATATTCCTATTATATATGGCTTTTTTTTTTTTTATTCTTTTGAATTTTTTTTCATAAGATAACTTTCTTCTTAGTATATATATGTCATGAATTTTAAATCCATTTATTTTTTAATTGTTTTTTGAAAACTTTATTTTTTTTTTATCCATACAAATAGATTATTTTTTTATCATTCTTTCTTTCTATAAATTATTTTTTAAGTACAGTAAATTAGTAATTTGATTAGTTTTTACCTTTTTAAATATAAGAGTATTTTTATCATTTCTCATGATTTTAATGGCAAATTTTGATAAAATTGACATAAAGATTAAATATCCTGACTGAGGAAAATTTTTATAACTATTAATTAATATTATAAAATTGCAAGAACGAATTAATTAATTTGATCAAATATAAGTACCAAGTAATTATTTTCCCTAATAATAATAATAATAACCGTTTTACTATCAAACGGTGTAGCTTCATCAGAACTATGTTGTTTTCGTTTAGAGTTGCATTTTAATGATAAAAAAACAAAAAACAAAATTCCTGCCCAATAATCTTATTCTCCTTTGCAACTCACTGCGCCTTTCCTTCTACACCTTGCCGTCGCCTCCGCAGCAGTCTGCTCTTCAACCTTAGTGCCAGGTTTCTCCGTTTCCATTCTTGGTTTATTTAATTTTCTTTTCGCCAACAGTGCCTTCGTTTCTGAACCTCGAGCAGCTCTCTGTGCTGAACTTTGATCGCGTACCTTCATTGGCAATCCTGCTCTTCAACCATAGTGCCAGGTTTCTCCATTCAATAAATTTTTTTGTTGTTCATTTACTTATACGTTTGAGAAGATTTTTTTAAAAAAATTTCATTGTCGATTTATTTTATTTTATTTTCTTTTCATGAAACAGTGCCTTACTTTCTTTTCCTTTTTCCCTCCTTTTTTTTTTTCTGTAAATATATATAAATAGATATAGAAGAGGAATTGCTTAACTGCTTTATAGTTTTAGTCGAGAGAGACAAAGATAGAGAGTGGTTTTATCAATTTTTGATGCTGTGATTAGTGATCAGGTAGAAACCATATTGTATTTAGGTTAATTAACTATTAATTATTTAGTTCAAGAGTGATAAATAAATATTGTTATTTGTTGAATTTGTATTTTGTTCTTAGGATTGAAGACAGGTGTAAGCTTTTTTTTTTTTTTTTTTTTTTTTTTTTTTTTTTTTTGAGAAGATTTTTTTTAAAAAAAAATTTCATTTGTTCGATTTTATTTTATTTTATTTTCTTTTCATGAAACAGTGGCCTTTACTTTCTTTTTCCTTTTTCCCTCCTTTTTTTTTTTCTGTAAATATAGTATAAATAGATATAGAAGAGGAATTCCTAACTTGCTTTATAGTTTTAGTCGAGAGAGACAAAGATAGAGAGTGTTTTATTCAATTTTTGAATGCTGTTGCATTAGTTGATCAGTAGAAACCCATTTTGTATTTAGGGTTAATTAACTATTTAATTATTTAGTTTCAAGATGATTAAATAAATATTGTTATTGTTGATTTGTATGTATTTTGTTCTTAGGATTGAACGCACAGTGTTAAGCTTTTTTTTTTTTTTTTTTTTTTTTTTTTTTTTTTTTTTTTAACATTTTGTAATGATGATGTAATAATCAATTTGTTTGTTTTTTTTTTTTTTTTTTTTTTTTTTTTTTTTTTTTTTTTAAATTTTGTAATTGAGATTGTAATAATCAATTGTTATGTTTTTAATTAATTTTTGGTTTGGTGGTGTTATATTATTATTGAGTTTTAAAATAGATTTTTGATTGTCAAATTGTTCAATTGAGTTATTGGTTTGATTGTGTGTATTATTTATTTAGTTTGAATTTTAATTTTTTTGTTCTATTTTAATTTATTAGCATCGTTTTCAGGTTGAATTTTTTTTGGATAGATTATATTTTCTTATAATTTTTCTGTTGCATTTTCCGATTCGGATTCGGGTTTTAAATGTTTTCGGTTTTCAAAATGATTGAATGAATTAATGATTAAACGGGAAACCGGGTTCGAGTAGTATGCGGATAACTCTAAATGGATTTGGGACAGATTTGAGTATTTTTGGTTTATTTCTTAATGGATTCGGGAAAGATTCAGGTACTTGAATTGATAAGTGTGTTTAGGTTCAGGTAGTTGATTTCTAGTGGGTACCCATCCTGCTGCCAATGTCCATGATAGAAATTGCTAATCAGTCACTTTTTAAACAATTTGGCTGTCTTTCTTCAAAATCATGAATCTTCAACGAGTTAAGAGTTTTAAAGCATTAGCATAGTACTTTCCTGCTGTTGTGATGACCTTGAAGTCAATTTTTTGACAGCCACATCTTCTATCTGAGCTTGAAGGCTTCATTGAGCAATAGAGAGCCAACATGGAAGTGTGTATTGAAGATTCATGGTATTTTCCCATTTTAACTTTGCCTTTAAGTTTGTTCATTACAGTTTTTTTTTATTAATTTATATTTAATAAGCTTTTATTTGTACTTGTATATTTGTCATACTTGTGTAATCTTGTTGCTTGCATTTGGTAGTTTGGAAGGTGATAGCAATGCATTGATCATGCCTGCAAAGAAACGTAACAAAAGAAAAGCCATCAATAAGGTATATGCAGTAGAGTAATAGGCTTCATGATTCTGTTCCAATATTTAATATAAGTGTTTCAATGCTAAAAGTTTTGTCATGCAGGATAAAGGAGTCCAAAAAAATAAAAACCCAAAGTTGAGCAAATCCCAGGAAAGAAAGTTGAAGAAGTTGGAGGTGTGTGCTTCTCATATTGCTTCTACCTTGATTCATTTCAATTTTGTGTTAATTTATATTGAAAATCCTTTTAATTTCTGTAGGAGGAAAATGAGAAATCACTTTTGCTCAAGGAAAGCATTGAGGCATTAGAGTGCGTTTATACTTTCTACCCACAACATGCTTGATTTTTATTTTTGTCTGCTGTCTTTCTAGGAAGATTTGACATTGTTTGGAACTTAATATAAATTTTTATCTTTTAGGAAATACAAGATACCAGAGGATGCCTTTTCACTTCTGCAATCATCAAGGAACATGAGTCGAGTTTGTATCTCTGTTCAATTTGAATTTTGAAAATTACATTCAAATCCTACTATTTGTTATGTTACTCATAAGATTTATATCCATGCAGGTTGAAACTGTGAAAGAAAAACGCAGAATGGCAATACAATTTTCCAAGGCAGGTCTAGAAGTTTCACATAGTGATGAGTTTTTCAAGATAAGTGTTGATGGTGCATCTTGGAAGACCGAAGCTGTACCATGGCAGGATCTAAACACGAATGACCAACCACAGCCAATTGTAACAAATGTTGCAAATGATTCTTCTGATTCTTTGGCCACCGGTCTAGAGCTAGGTAGTGGCAATGAACAGAAGTCCAATTGCGGATCAGTTTCTGCCTTCTCAACTGAAAAATTTTCTGGAAAGGAAAATTTCAAATCGAGTAAAGAGGACATTAAGATTTCTGCTCCGGCTCTACATCATTGTGGTTCTGGAAAGATCACACAGTTAATGGTATGTTATGTCTGTAATTAATTTTGGGATCATATGTATAATAAGCTTATTGGACACAATATTTGAAGTGCAATGAAATTTCGATATAAGTAGAAAAGCATGCACAAGAAATATAATGCTTTGGCATTTACAAACAAATCTGAATAAAAGATATTGCTTTCAATGTTCTGAGTGATTCATGCTACAATAGCATAAGATAACAACAAAACTTTTTTTTTTTTTGGTCATGAATCATGCTAATCGGGAGCTACATATGCCTCCAATGCTACATTGATAATGTATGTACAGTAGGATGATGTAACAATGACTTACATGTATCTATATGGTCAAGTCAAGTGACGAGCCATATCGTACACCAGATCTTTTTATTTACAGAATAATGAAAAATTTAGTATTTAAAAAAATTTGCCTAGTGTTGAATTATTATTTTTTTCAATGTAGGAGATATTAGATTCTGAAAGCTTTCTTCTATTTTTATAAAGTAATTTGAGACCAAGGCCTTGTCAAAAGTTTATTTATGTTTACTGAGATGTTGCCAAAAGAAAACAAACTGTTCATGCATGGCATGCATTTCCTGCATTATGCAACTCTTGTTTGTAGCACATGGTATGACATTGAAGATTCAGATGTAGTTAGTGCTAGAACATTCATGGAGACATACAATATTAGACATGTTAGAACTGAGATATTAATTGGATCACTGTTTGATGTTGCCTAATCTGAGACTCATGGATCAGGGAAAATCAGATGAGAACTTAATTGGAAATTTGGTCCAGGCTAACAATTTACCAGATTGCACATTGCAAAGTCCTGTTGCTGCCCCAATGGTGGTGCATGTTGTAAGGCCAAAGGAGGTAGAAGAGAAACGAAAGGATCTTCCAATAGTTATGATGGAGCAGGAGATAATGGAAGCTATAAATGAGCATTCTAGTGTTATTATCTGTGGAGAAACTGGGTGCGGAAAGACCACACAAATTCCTCAGGTGGATTTATTTGATGCTTTCTTTTTTGCCTACCTTCTAGAATTTCAGACCAATTTTCCATTGAATCGCCTTGATTTTAGCTTCATTGATGTATTCTTTCAGTTCCTTTATGAAGCAGGCTTTGGTTCAAACCAATCTGTTGCTCGAGGTGGTATTATTGGAGTTACTCAACCACGACGTGTCGCTGTCCTCGCTACAGCTAGACGTGTGGCATTTGAGCTGGGTCTCCAACTTGGTAAGGAGGTTGGTTTTCAAGTGAGGCATGACAAGAGGATTGGGGACAACTGTACTATCAAATTTATGACTGATGGAATTTTACTACGAGAAGTTCAGGTTTGTTTTCCACTCAATACTGAATATTGCATCTTGCATGTGATGATCTGGAAACTCTTTTGTGATACTAGTTTTTGCTTTTCCTTAAGATGCTAGATGGTGTTTGTTATATTTATATGTTTTCAATTCCATATTAGATTGGCGTCCCTCCTCTTATCATAGCTTTTTTTTTTTGCTCTCTGTTGCTCCTTTTTCTTTTTCTCCCCTCTTTTGGGTTATGGAGGCTGAGGGTTTGATTTACCATTAAAGTTGTTTCTTCTAAGGTTCGACTTTTTGGAGATTTCTCTTGCTGTGTTGCCTGCCTATCTATTGTTTTTACCTGAGGCAAAAAGAATCTGTGGCTCTGAGTGGAAGAAAGTAATTTGAAAAGAAAGAAAAAGTACATGAGAAATTTTCTAGCTTTGTTTGTGATTGCTCCTGAAAATTAAAATTCGTAGTATATATGCTTAGAGATCAGATTAGGATGTACTGTTTTGTTTATTTTTTCTTTAGCATAGCCATGGACTATATTCTTTCTACTAAAGCCTTTTTGGCATTGTTTCCAATCACGTATTTGTGAGCCCATCATTACTTGTGGGGTGTATACAAAGTGACAATTATTCATCAAATCTTTACTTGTGTATGTTAGTGTTTTCTTTTTGTTTTCCTAATGAAGTCTCTTGTGCTGCAGAATGATGTTCTATTGAAGAAATACTCTGTTATAATTCTGGATGAGGCTCATGAGAGAAGTGTGAACACAGACATACTCATTGGAATGCTTTCTCGTATCATTCGACTTCGCCAGGTAAAACTTGAAACTAACTTTACTATTGTAAGCAGTAAACAAAGTCTATTCTCTTTTGCCTTAAGCATTCTATTTACTATATGCATTCTGTGCATACGCAGAAGAAGTATGAGGAACAACGACATATGATATTTTCTGGAGAAAGCATAAGCCCCCAAAATATGATATTTCCACTCAAACTTGTTCTAATGAGTGCCACCTTGCGAGTGGAAGATTTTGTTTCTGGGGGAAGGTTATTTCATAACCCTCCTCCTGTTGTTGAAGTTCCCACCAGACAATTTCCAGTAACGGTACATTTCTCAAAGAGAACAGAAATTGTGGATTATATTGGCCAAGCCTATAAAAAGGTCTTGTCAATCCACAAGAGGCTGCCACCAGGTGGCATACTTGTCTTTGTCACAGGGCAGAGAGAGGTGGAGTACTTGTGCCAGAAATTACGTAAAGCTTCAAAACAACTGATTGCTAATACTGTTGAACGGAATATGGGGAATAAGGTCTCTGCCACATCTGAAATGAATTCTGTTGAGGGAATTAACATGAAGGACATAAATGATGCATTTGAGATTCAAGGGAACTCAACTGGTGAGCAAACTGACAAATATAGCTCCTATGACAAAGATATGCAACATACTAATGGGGATGAACCAGATGACCTTTACGATTCTGAAACAGATAGCGAACTAGAAATTGCTGGTGATGATGGAGATTTAGGAGACAATGACATTTTGGAAAATGATGGTAACCTTTTAGGTGCTTTAGAAGGGGAGGGGAGTCTTGCCTCGTTAAAGGCTGCTTTTGAAGTATTGGCTGGAAAAACTACATCAGACCCTAATTCTGAGGGAAACCAGATTCCTTCTATGTTGAAAGGCTGTTTAGAGCAATCCAACCACATTTTAGGGGGGAAGAAAGGAGGAGATGTATGTGTCTCTGTTGGAGCTTTACATGTTCTTCCTCTTTATGCAATGCTTCCTGCTGCAGCACAGCTTCGCATATTTGAAGAGGTCAAGGAAGGGGAGCGACTTGTTGTTATTGCCACTAATGTTGCTGAGACTTCTCTGACTATTCCGGGCATAAAGTATGTTGTTGATACTGGAAGGGAAAAGGTGAAGAACTACAACCCCTCTAATGGCATGGAAACATATGAAATACAGTGGATAAGTAAAGCATCAGCTGCTCAACGTGCCGGAAGAGCTGGGAGAACTGGGCCTGGCCACTGTTACCGCCTCTATTCATCTGCGGTGTTTAATAATATATTTCAAGACTTCTCTTATGCTGAAATCTGTAAAGTGCCTGTTGATAGCATTGTTCTTCTCCTGAAATCCATGAGTATTGATAAGGTGGGTTTTCTTATTTGTTCTGGTGCTTCATGATGAATATGATGGGTGGTTCCACAATGGTATGTAAATGATTCACATAGTCAGTTGGCCAGTATGCAAGCTTGAGCAAATGAAAGACCTTAAACTTGTGGATCTGTCTGTGTTTATTTTATGACATTAAGTTTTGAATATGTATTTTTTTTTTCGTGGGGGTTTGGGGTGAACGGGGTTGGGTTGGGTTCGATATATAGAAGGCAGGGGAGGGTGGTGGTTGAAGGGAGGATGATGATGCTATTGTCACATGCTATTCCCAAGTATTAGGTATAACAGTTTAATTATTTGGATGGAGTTGGGAAGGAAATAGTTGGAACCCTCTTGAATTGTTGATCTTGTGTCTTTACATGAACAACTTGTACATTTCTTGCATGTTGGTTAGAGACCTATTGTTCACAGCTAGCAACAAATTTGTTTTTTTTTTTTCGCCTCAATGCTGCGAAAGCTTCTTGTTGTGTGGCTTTTAAGAGTTGTGGTTTTTTAGAGACTAGTTCTATTCATCCTCTATCTAATTTTTTCACTTAATTGTCTTTGTATTATGTGTATTCCAGGTAGAAAATTTTCCATTTCCAACTCCTCCAGAGTTCACTGCCATGATGGAAGCAGAACGGTGCTTAAAGACTCTTGAAGCACTTGATAGCAATGGAAGATTGACACCTCTTGGGAAGGCCATGGCTTATTATCCCATGAGTCCTCGCCATGCTCGGATGCTTCTTACTTCTATCAAAATTATGAGAAAGGTCAAAACTTATGCTAGAGCAAATCTGGTTCTTGGATATGCAATTGCTGCAGCTGCAGCATTGAGCCTGTCTAGTCCTTTTCTCATGCAGTTTGAAGGAAGTCATGATAGTAGCAATGGCCTAGAGCAGAATGGAATGGCTAAATGCATGGACGATAATAAAGACTTGGACAAGCAAGAAAAATTAAGGAAAAAGAAACTTAAAGAGACAGCTAAAATATCTCGAGCAAAATTTTCAAACCCTACCAGCGATGCTCTGACTATAGCTTATGCATTGCAGTGTTTTGAACTTTCCAACAACCCAATGGAATTCTGCTCTGAAAATTCCCTACATCTTAAAACCATGGAAGAAATGTCCAAGCTAAGAAAGCAGCTTCTTCAATTAGTCTTTAATCAAAATGTTGATCACAGGTTCAAGCAGGAGTTTTCATGGACTCATGGAACAATGGGGGATGTAGAACAAGCTTGGATGACACCCTCCGGTAGGAACCCGCTTTTAATGAATGAGGAGGAGCTCTTAGGCCAAGCTATTTGTGCTGGTTGGGCTGATAGAGTTGCCAAAAGAATCAGAGGAAATTCAAGGTCATCTGAAGGAGATAGAAAAGTAAATTCAGTTCGCTATCAAGCCTGCATGGTTAAAGAAACTGTGTTCCTCCATCGTTGGTCATCTCTTTCTAGTTCAGCCCCTGAATTTTTGGTGTACAGTGAATTGCTGCATACAAAACGACCATATGTTCATGGAGCGACAAGTGTGAAATCAAAATGGCTTGTTAAATATGCTGGGTCTTTGTGCAGTTTTTCTGATGTTGAGGACCCTAAACCTTATTATGAGCCTCAAACTGACCAAGTATATCACTGGGTCATTCCAACTTTTGGGCCTTACCTTTGGCAGTTGCCATTATACAGTGTATCAGTTACCAGTGATGTGGATCGTGTGAAGGTATTTGCTTATGCTTTACTCGAAGGCCATGTTTTGCCATGCTTAAGCTCTGTCCGTAATTTTATGGCAGCTCGTCCCAGTATCATTTTGGGCCAAGAGGCTGTAGGTGAAAGACGGGTTGGCGACCTTATGTATAAGTTAAAGACATTGTCGATTGATAGTTGTGCGATGCTAAGAGAAGTATGGAAAGAGAATCCCAATGAATTGCATTCAGAAATTTTACACTGGTTTAAGAAGAGCTTTCATGATCATTTTGGAGCACTTTGGACACAGATGCATGTTGAAGTACAATTAGAGCCTCATGAACGCTTTCTTAAGAAGGTGAAGAAGGATAAAAAGAAAAAGGATATGGGGAGCTAGATTGGAGATACTGGTATAACATTGTTCCTATTCTGAAAGAGCTTCCTTGAGTTGTGCCAAAATAGAAATGAAGCTTCCTTCACTTGAGTGAAACCGATTGATTACAAAGTGTGTAAGGTAATCCTATGTGCCTATTTTTGCTTGTAACATAGAAGTCTACTGAGTACTGACTGAGGAAAATTGCAAATATATGATAAAAATTGTTTGCATTTGAGACAATTGGAATCAGAGTCTCTGTTGAATTGTATGTAACAGATTAGTTTCTAATCCTGAGGCATGCCATAACCAATGCTAAGAGCAAGCAACCAAGGAAGGTTCTCTGTTCGAGCCATATTATTTTGCAAGTAATAATGGCAGTTTTTACTCTATAAACTCGTACAGGCACTATTGTTACCTATTCTAATAGGTTCATCAAAACATTTTCTTTGTGATGGTTATCAGATTTACATTTTCTTTGTGATTTACTTCTCTATACCCATTGAGCTCATATGCTTTGTGCAAAAATTTGCATTCTTCCTTTATGGATGGGTGCTCATGCAATTTGGTGCTTTTATTTTTCTTTGTGGGGCAACCTACTTCATAAACTTGTGGACATTCATGGTGATGACTATTGCAAAACTTTCTTGTGGCATTGCATCATGTGCAACTGCTTTGATGCTTGTTCACATTATTCCTTATCGATGGAGTGTTAAAACTCAAGAATTACTTCTTAAGAACAAGGCTGAAGAACTTGACAAAGTGATGGGACATATTCTTACATGGGAAGAAATTGGAAGGCATGTAAGAAAGCTGGCTCGTGAAACAAGAAGCACACTTGATAGGCAATCTATATTGAAAAAAACTCTTGTTGAGTTGAGTAGAGGAATGTGCATCGTGGACTTCGTCGTGGTCTGATTTGATTCTGCAACTTTCTGTACCCTAAACTAGAAAATGCAAGTTGGAACTCTGTGCCAATAAACCATCCAATGGTCAATGCAGTCTTCAAAAGTGCCCAAGCAATTTATTTAAGATATACCTGTCCATTGGCTAGAATCAGACCTCTTCTTGGCAGATACACACCACCAGAGGTTGTTGCTGTTTGTGTTCAGTTATTACATCTTTCAAATTTCCAAATCAATGATTGGTCTGATATCTCTGCAAAAAGTTAGGCTGTCATGGTTCTGATTCTTCCTACAGACAGTGCTAGAAAATGGCGGGACCATGAGTTGGAACTGTTGAAGTTGTTGCAGAACAGGTTATGCTTCTTTTCTTAATTTCAAGGCTGGCTTACAAATGTTGTATAGCTTTGTATCTTGCTATTGCATTTTCATTTTTATTAATCTAGAGATTTAACTCATGTTTCTTGCTACCTGTGATAGTATGATGTTATGTTGAGAGATTTGAGAAACTAAGAATAATGTGAATCACAAGTGTCTTTTTCATTGTTCGTATTTTCCGCATAATTATGTTATGATTCCTTGTCCTTTTGCATTCAATACTTGCACAGGTTGCATTAATGAAAACTTGTAGACAGAACAAGATTTCCATTTCTGAAATCCTTTTCGATACAGGTTGCAGTTGTTCATTAGAACGCTGCTTATGAGTTTCTTAAATATTATTTTTATAAATAATATTTAAGTAACTTCTCTCAACACGAAAGAAGATAATATAGTAAAAAATATTAATAATATATTTAAGAATTTAATCTATTAAAAAATTATGAATAATCACATCACCGAATCGTCTCCCGTTAATAGCAAAGAGAATCCAGATTTTCAAAGATACATATTTAAGCAATAAATCATATAACGACGGTTATGAACAAGTAATTTTCTAAGAAAGATACCTATTTTTAATTTTCTTAAAACGAACAATGATTTTCTTAAAATGAATGTTTAAAGAAACCCAATCAGAAATAGTGATATTACCCCTAAAGAACGCTTCATGAATATCACATGGAATAGAAAACTGCTAAACCCCAGTAATCACAGGACAATCACGCATAATGTGAAGACAAGTTTCAGCTGCCTTGAGGAAAGAGGGCAATCAATGTGCTGTGGAAGGTGGCGCCTCCATCTCTCAACATTAGTCAGCAGACGGTTATGGTGGAGGAGCCATAGGAAGTCCGTATCCGTTGACATCCCTTCCACTTCCATATACAACTCCAAGTAGTGCTCGACTGTCCCAAGTCCTGTGAATGCAGGCTTATAAGCAGACTTAATTAGAAAATTTACCAGTCGGAGAAGGGTCCCACAAAACCTAATCAGGGCCAAGCTCGTGGGACGGGACTGGAATAGCTTGAAGCTTTGCCATGAATTCTTGTGGCAAATATTGGTGTAACAAACTATGATTCAAAACCTCCTCCAGGATAACATACATAGCAACCACCTACACTACCATATGCGCTGGAACATCAGTTATCCCCACATCAATAAGTTTCACGCCAGGAGCAATCCAATTATCAATCCAGAACCGAACAGAGAGCCCATTACCCACAGCCCAAAGCATACCCTCATCCAAGCAATGAAACACAATGAAACACTTGTTTCATTCCTCTCGCCACAGTAGACAAATTCAACCCATGAAAATGAGCTGGAATATATTCATCCCCAAGCTTGTATTTAGACCGTAAAACTTGAACCCATAGCGTGTTTCGGTCATGAATAAGGCTCCAACACAACTTCAACAGAAAAGCCTCGTTTAAATCCCAAGTCCACCTGCATTTTAGGAGATTGAACCCGACTCCATAGAACTAAGGAAACCTTTCGATTATCCACAGTACTACCCCAAATGAATTGACGGCAACTTTTTTTCAATATCATGGCACCCCCCAAATGGAAGCTTCATGGTTTGCATCGAATAAATTGGGATGGCAGCCAAAACCGACTGGGTGAGAGTAATTCGTCCAACGAGCGAGAGGTGGGACGCCTTCCAACTAGCTAGATGAGTATTCACCGAATCCAGAATGTGCTGATAAGTGCGCTTTGTTACTCTTCCATGCAGAATGGGCATGCCCAAATATTTGCCAAAATTATCTGTTTTCGTAAAACCCAAATGCGTATCCAGCAACTGTCTCTCGTGAGGGCATACATTTTTGGAGTAGAAAACCGTAGTTTTTCTAACATTAACTTTCTGACCAGAACATGCACAGAAATCAGCCAGAATCCCATGGATAATTCACTTAAGAAATGTCAGCTTCTGCAAATAAGAATAAATCATCTGCAAAAAAAAAATGTGTGAGAGGGGGTCCATGCTTATTTAAAAGAATGGGTTTCCACAATCCCTTATGGACAGCCAAAGAAATAGCTTGAGCCAATCTCTCGATGCGTACTACAAAAAGATATGGGGAGAGTGTATCTCCCTATCTAATATCACGGGATGGGAAAAATTTGTCCATTAATTCCCTGTTCCAAAGAATCTGCATAGAAACAGATGAAACACATGACATGATTAAATTAATCAACGGAATAGAAAAACCCACATCAATAAGCGAATCAGTCAGAAAATCCCAACGAATCCTATTATAGGCTTTTTCAAGATCAATTTTAATGGTCATAATCCTCTTTTTTTTCTTTCTTCTGTTGCATAGTATGAATAATTTCCTGGGCAATAATGATATTATCAATAATTCTTCTCCCTGGAACAAAGCTTGTTTGAGTAGGGCGTATCATAGCTAGAAAAAGGGGCTTAAACCTATTCACAATTAGGTTAGTAATAATTTTATACATCACAGAACAAAGACTAATAGGCTTGAATTGTGACATAGAAGTAGGATTACTTATCTAGGGAATAAGAATGAGGATGGTTTCATTTAAATCTGCATCCACAATTTGATCTGTAAAAATTCTACGAGTGTCCGCACAGACTGCAGGTGCAACCAAATATCATTTTTTCTAGTAAAAACATGCATGAAGCCTGTCTGGGCCTGGCGCTTTCCACGGTTTCATGTCAAACAGGGCACCATTCACTTCATCATCAGTAATCAGGCGAGACAGACTTTGCAAATTTTCCTCACTAATAGCTGGAAACAAACCATAGATTGGAAATATTGGAGAAGTCAGACATTCTTCCTTAAACAGCTCAACAAAGAAGTCTTAAGCGATTCGTTTTAAAGTGGGTCCATCATCAATCCAATTTTCATGCTCATCACATAGCATCTCAATCCGGTTGTGTTTGTGTCTCTTAATAGTTTTAAGATGGAAATATATAGTGTTTCTATCTCCCCACTGCATCCATCCAGATCTGGATTTCTGACGCCATATCAACTCCTCTTAATAAAGAACATGTTCTGATTCAGTTCTTAGGCTAACCTCAAGCTCATAAAGCCGACTAGACTATCGGGATTCTAGAGCACACTGAATAACCGCTAAGTGAGCAAGAATGCTTTTTTTTCATTTGAATACATTTCCGAACACTGCTGAATTTGATTTCTTAAGCTACTGAGTGAAAGCCGCTATGGTGGAGCTGATCGAATGTGTTGGATTCCATGCTTCTTTCACAAAATCCCCAAAGGCAGGATGAGTTAACCACGCTGCTTGGAATCTAAACGACCTGCTAGCAGACGGAGGAGCATTAGTGCTACTTAACTTGATCAACAAAGGCCGGTGATCTGATTGAGTTTTAGGAAGGTGGAATACAGCAGCTTCTGGGAAGCAAAGTCTCCAAGATTGATTGCAAAGAGCTCGATCTAAATGTTTAGAAAGCGTCCCTCTCTGCCAAGTAAATTTTGGGCCTTTGTACCCAAGGCCTATTTAATTAGAACCTGTGAACCTGCAAATTCCAGTTCTATTATGGGCACCCCCTTGCCGCTCATCACTAAATAAAATAGAAAAAACCATACGCCCATTAGAGTTTCCTAGCAGTTGGCAATGAATCAATTGGCGTTGGCTTTCCAAAACCTTAATCGTCCACCGATCCTTCCATAGCACCCATATTCCCCTAGAGAACCCAACTGCCTCCACTGTATGAGAGAAAGGAAAATTCAGAGACTCAAGTAAAACCAGGACCGACGGATTATATACCTTTTAACTTCAGCATCAAATGTCTAAGAAAAGTGGTGCTAGCAGCACCTTGTACATTCCATATAAAGATTGACATAGGAATATTTGAACAAAGAAATTAATCTCTTAGATTAGGATCCCTAGATTCCTCAGTATCCGAGATCTCCTTATCATCATCATTATCTCCTATCAGCTGGTTCACCTCGATCAAATAAAACTCCCACCTCAAAAGAACAAATAGTGAGAATACCTACCACCACGACATTGGATGCCTCCTGGGTCAAGTGGAAAAGTCGAGGTTTTCCTCCTGCAGCTTATGAAGTTTGTCCGGAACTCTGGCCTCTAACTCTACCAAAAGAACTACAGCCCTGCTGGCCTGCAAATTTGGAACCTGGTTTAGAAGGTGTGGTACTATGGGGTCTAGACACACTACCCATAGAAGATTGGGATGACATATGTCGTAGCTAAGGAAGTGGGCAGTCTCT